AATGAGGTCCTGTTCTAGGATCTGGTATTAAAAGTGAAATGGAAGGGGAGGAGGGTTCATAACGAGGGTCTTTGAAGAGTGACGTCTATAGCCAGCATTGAACAGAAGGCTTTCTGTTCATTTAGCAGTAGACAGTAGTTCATTGCAAGCTAAGAAAGAGAGTGCAATTTCAAGACTCTCCAACAATCTTGAATTACTCCGTTGATAAATACACTCTTTTTAATATGATGCAAAAGCTACTGCGGAGAACAAAATCAAGATCTATACTTAAATTTGCCACATCAATGAACTGCACCCTGAAAGCTGACCCAATTTTGCCATTCCTCAGCAGCTACAACTAGATGTTGGGTAGCATTATCTGCATGTAGCATTTTTATACACAGCCAATACAATATATATTTTGGTAAATATGTAAAAATATAAGTTTAAACAAAACCCAGTAAGCGGAGTAGTGAGGCTTTAAAAGAATATAAAATTCAACACGGACACTTCTATAGCAGTTACTCAAATACCATCAACAAGGAGAACTGAAGTGCTTTAATGGCTTTCATGGAATAAAAGTAAGAGAGAAAAGGGAAACAAGCTTATATGGTATTTGAAACAGCATCTTGGACAGCTTGAAACCATTTGCATCAAAGATGCACAACTTGATAGCCCCGGGTCTCTTGCGGTTCCTTAACACTTTGTGCAGGGCTCCAAAGATAACCAACAGCTGTTTCTAAAATGATAATTATTAATACACTAGGAGGAGAATGTGTCTAATAGATGGCTAACTATATTTCAATTCAGTTAGTAGGAAATTAAATGAATTGTGGTTTTTGTTTTGGTTTCACCTACCACTTTCTGGCAAAATGTCTGGCATGCCATTTAAATCCTACTCGGCTAAATTGTACATCCTTGATCTTTTTCTCAAATGTTATGTTTAAAAAAAAAAGTAGAAGTATAGCAATTCTGATAAATCTGGTTTCACAGCAACTAGAATGCCATTGGGTTTGGTGCATGGCGTTATTCCTATCCAAGCAGACAAGAGAGGGTTTCATGGGATAGAAAGTAAACTGGTTCACAAGAGAAATCCCCAGGGAGGATTTTAAATGGTGAATTACATTGTCTAGTCCAAAGCCTTCTACTCTTCAGCTACATTGGCAAATAGCTTTTGTAACTCCTGGATAGCACAGCCATATTTGTTAGGAGAATATGGGAGTTGCAGTAAAATACATTATATGCAGTATTCTTGACTTGATTATCTACTTCACTTTCTGCGTTCACCTGATACAGTGACTCTTAAGCTAACCAGGAATGTTAGGTTTACCCAAAATACTTGGTGTAAAGAAGCAAAACAAACAAGGTTAAAACTAATACATACAGTACAGGTAGTCCTTGACTTAACAACAGTTCATTTAGTGACCATTCGAAGTTACAATGGCACTGAAAACTGACTTAGGACTTATGATCGTTTTTCACACTTACACCTGTTGCAGCATCCCCCTGGTCATGTGATCAAAATTCAGCCATTTGGCAACTGACTCATATTTATCCCGAGATCAACTTCTGTGACCTTCTGACTAGCAAAGTCAATGGGGAAGCCAGATTTACTTAACCACCATGTTACTAACAATTGCAATGATTCACTTAACAACCGGGGCAAGAAAGGTCATAAAATGGGGCAAAGCTCACTTAACAACTATCTCACTTAGCCACAGAAATTTTGGGCTCAATTGTGGTCATAAGTCAAGGACTACCTGTACTCACGAATTTTCGAGTTAAACTTTGATACAGAGCTATTCTCAACTCCGACTAGAAGATTCCAGACGAGAGAAGGCAGAAAGGCTTTGTTTACAGCATGCCACATATATGTGCTTCACAGCACGGTCGCACATAGGGAGGCTCAGGTACGCCATTTTGGATGCTATCCAATCCTGTTTGTTTGCTGATCTTGTGGTGTTTAGTTTGTATTTAGTTTTTCTTTCTGTAGTAACTATGAATTACAATATGTCTGGAATTAAAAATAAGTGCCACTTACGTATAGTAAGAACTGTACTGTGTATGTTTTCATAGCTAGTTGAATTTACAAACAAAATTTACAAACAAACAGCATCTTGAAATGTAACCTGTTTGTAATTAGAAAACTGGCTGTATTATAGCATGTTGTGTGAATACATCCACCTGCAATTGTCTTCAATCCTGTGAATATAGTGAAACTGGCTTAATCAGTTTGAGGGAAACAGGAAAAAAAGCTGGAAGAGCAGAGGAATTCTCTGCCCAGCCTAGGATTCAAAGGCAGTTTTATTCAGAGTAGGGCTATTGCAGAAACGACAAGGCATAATTTCATCATCAACTCTGTCTCATTACTTTAATGTGTTGCTAGCAGTTTACTGTAAACAGAAGATGCAATTTGTCACAGGGCAATTTGCCATAAAGTGCAAAATGAACCTAATCTAAAGCATTTCATTTTAATTAGAAGTGAAGAAAGGAAAGCCACTCAGTTATCTCCATCAGATGTTATTACTAGTGCTGCCTGAGAAGTTTCACAGGAGTGAAGTTCTCACACTCTTTCTTAAAAAATCAAATCACAAACACGGAACTGTCAGCCAAGTTTGTTCTAACAATTCTTAACATTATAGGCAAACTCCTATCTTTCTTATCAGAAGGAAAATCAAATGTGAGAAACCAAGTTCAAAGAGAGCTGGATGTTTCAGTAGGTGTGACAAAAGATGATGATGGAATTACAAAGTAGCAGTTTTACAAATAAGCTAGTTCTCAACTTAGGACTGCTCACTTAGTGACTATTCAGAATTACAAGACTCTCCTAAAAGGTACTTGCAATTTGGTTCCAAAGTTACAACAGCTGCTCCCTCCCATAATCATTTTGAGACCTCGGCAACTGGCCTGCATTTATGATCATTTGCACCACCTGCAGTTGTGTAACCCCAATTTACATTTTTGTTGAAAACCAACATTTACTTCTGGTTTTTTTGGCAAAACACCCCATAGTGAACAATAGCTGCACTTAACCGCTGCAAAAACCAGCTTGTATAATCAGGTTGATCACATGATAACTTATTTTACGACCATCATGACTTGTGATTATAATGGGCAGACTCCATTACAGTCATAAGTTGAGGACTACCGGTATCTATAGAGCTGTCACAACGAAGATGGATCTGAACAGCTAACAGAGAAGTGGGCAGAACAGCTAAGACTAATGGGTGGACAATACAGCAAAAGCAGTTTAGGAATAATTGCTTACAAATACATAAGTTTCTTCTGGATCTATCTACAATAGTGGAAGCAAAGAGCTCTCCTTCATGAAGTTCGGGTGGCCAAAATCAGGAAGGCTGTGGTTTATCCTGAAGAGCCATGAGCGCTATCAATTCCATTGGTAACAATGTGTAACAAGGGAGAACACATATTTTAAATGCAAGATGCCCATTTTATCCTTGGTATCAGTACGCAGGGCTTGAAAGAACTCCATAACTTTTAAGTACAGAGACAGTAGTGAGCTAGATGAAACCCTTGCATGAGGCAGCTTCTGATCTTCCTTTCGGGCATGCATAATGAATGATTTACAAAGTCTCATTCATCCCCATGATAATCACATTTTACTGTAAGGGAAAAGATAATGGTTTGCGCCATGCTGCCCAATCAACAATCAAGGCATTTAAGCTCAGATTTTGCCCTCAACTACAGCACTAAATGGTGCCTCCTAAATATTTCACAGTACTCCAGGGCCTCTCTTCCCATTGCACTTATTCAAAACACAGAGACAGCTGAAAGCTTGAAGGTACTCTGGTTGATTATTGCTACATGTAGCCCAACGCTGTCTGCACTAACTGGGACTGGCTTTCCAAAACCTCTCCTAGTGTGTCCCTCAAGCGGTCTCATCTACAGTATACTAGTTGAACACTGAAGATTAGGTCTCTCGTTGCCAAGATAATGAAATATCCCATCCTTTAAGGCAGATGTTCCTAGCTTGGGGCCTTCCAGCTGTGTTGGACTACAATTAGCCTAATCCCCACCCACATTTGCAGTGCTGCCTATAAATCATAGACCAACACTCAAGGAAGGTGCCAGTTCAATAAACTTTCTGGCAAAGCAAAACAGTTTAATGTAATGTTGTCACACACCCAACTGATATAGGACCATAACAAGACAGGGTACAACAAAAGAAGCTTGGTAGATTGCACTTCATATTCATTTCCAATAAATTATCAAGGATAGGATGACTTCTGCAGGCATATTTAAGCTGATGCATTGGAGAGGACACATCACCTTCATCCGTTCATCAAAGCACATTCTTGCATTAATTTGAGTTTAGACCAGTCACTTTCAGTGCTTCTGTCTGATTTAGCGAGATTGCTTCCCTTCTGATCTGTTACACAAAGTTACTTATTTTTGACGACTCGTTGGTTGAAGCATGATATGGACAGGTGGTAAATCATCATCAAGTTCTTCATTTTCACAGATCATTGACAATTCCAAAAGATGACACTCCTTGGGGATTGACTTTCCAGTGATTTTGTGAATCAATTCTGTCAGGCTTAGAAAGTAAAAACAAAAAGTGAATATGGTGCCAGGGGAAGGACTGAGCATCAGTCTTTTGTCACTTGATGTAGTGAAAATATAAAGCATGTGTTTATAATAATTGCATGGTAGAATCGATATGGGAAGTGTGGTCAGAACTGTAGTGGGAAATATCTGACACTACATGGGGATTTGATTTCATGGGCTGCTTTTGGCAAAACCCTGAGATGCACCAAAGCTTCTTAATCAATCGTATCCCAGTCTGGTATTCTGCTTCTCCTACAGTAGTCAACAGAATGCATTTGAGAAACCCTCAAGCAGGAAATGAAGGCAGCTTCTCTCTCTCTTTACTTAGCAAGTGATTGCTGGAGTACGTGATGCATCCAATTAGCCAGATGTGGAGCGTGCTTCCTTTTCCTGGTTGCATTTGTTTCCCAATGGTGCTGAATGGTGCTCCAGAAATAGGGACTAAAATTACGTTAGCCTCCATCAGGGTGCGGGAACACCTCACCCTCTCTCCCCAAGCTTTTATACTGGAGGTTGGACTAGGGAATATTTCTGAGCAACGGCTTCCAGGATCCCCCTACCTTGGCCATGCCAGCTGAGGTTCTCAAGCAGGCACAGGCTCTCTCCACCTGGTACCTCAGCCCTCTAGAGCGGAAAGCAAGGCAGGCGTTTTGCTCTCTCCTTAGGAAGCAGAGTGAGAGTGGAGCTTCTGCCTGGAAGAATCTGTATAGACTGATTTGCTTGCGAAGGGGGTGTGGACAGAAGGAAAGTGAGTGTGCTGAAAGCAGGAGAGCTGCCAGGGAGTCTGGAAAGATTATAGAGCGAGAGGCTACAGTTGCCTCTGGTTGGCAGAAGCCCAGAAGGGCCTGCTTGAGGCTGGGATGAGCTTTGTCTACCCCAGGAAGTTGAGGAGGAGGTGCTGACAGCAGGATGTTTACCCGGCATGGAAGGGACGGGACATTAGAGGCTTTGCAGCTGCTGCAGATACAGGACCCAGGCTGTACTTGTAGGGGCCCTGCAGTGGGGTAGCCCTGGCCTCCCTATCCTTCACTCCTGAGGATCCCTCGGCCAACTGGCTTCCTAAGCACAGCTGGACAGTGTGGGCTGTTCTCCAGCCAGCAAAACCAGGCAAGCGGAGGCCCAGACAGAGCAGATATTCAACCTCAGCAATCACAGAAGGAAGAAAGATGGAAGGATTCCCAGAGATTGTCTGACCAGGCTTTTCTTTTATTGGGTCACCAACAGCCTCCCCCCCCCCTTTGTGTAGAATTAATGGAAAGAGACTCTGATAGCCTGGGAACCTTGTCATAGTTTAATATTACACTGAGATTTAACTTGTTTCATTTGGTCTGTTTTTATATTCTTCTGCTTTTAGAAATAGCATTTTAATAACTGTAAACTGTCATAGAAGCTTTTTTAGAGCTGAAAGACAGCATCACAAGTGTGTGTGTGTGTATACGTATACACACACACACACACACACACATATATACATATGAATTTAAAGCTGGGTACAGCCTTTACAGATGGGCCTCCAAACTAGAAGTCTTTTCTGTCAGTTCAATTCATAAAACCTTTCCCTGCCTTGGTTAGATAGAGCCTCATCAACGGCTCTGCTCTAGTAACCACAGACTGAAGCTATGAAGATTAGGGTTCTATAATATCTCTCTATGGATCACAAGAGGCCTTATGAAATGTTGTTCATGCAGGAAGGAAATCTCAAAACGCTCATCTTTGGTTATGATTTGTTAAAAAAAAAAAAAGTTTAAAGCCAGAGAGCCCACATAACAGGTTTTTAACGGCCAAAATCTACAGTGGATTGGTTGATGATATATAGCAGTGATGGCAAACCTTTTAGAGACCGGGTGCCCAAACTGCAACCCAAAACCCACTTATTTATTGCCGGGTGCCAGGTGGACGTGGCCCACTGGGTGGGCATGGCTGTGGTGGTCATGGCAGATTGGGTGGGTGTGGCCAAGGTGGGCGTAATCATCTCGATGTTGCTCGTGGGGAGGGACGCCTGTAGGGGCTGGGCAGGTTTGGAGGAGATCCAGGGGGTCTCTGGCAGGTGGGGCGATGGGCAGGAGGCTCGTCCTACGGGGTGAGGCAAGGCGAGGCAGGGCGGGGGTGCCATTGTCACAGGGCAAGGTGAGGCAGGGACCGTGGCGGCAGTTGCCTGACACCATCAGCCCCTGCACACAGAGGCCAGCGAGTGCATGGGTGCTGGGATGCATCCGGCCATGTGGGACCTCGGTGAGTTAGCAGGCAGCTGGTTGAAGAGGGACGGTTGCAATCTCCGGGGCATGGCGCGCGTGCCCACAGAAAGGGCTCTGAGTGATACCTCTGGCACGTGTGCCATAGGTTCGCCACCACTGATATATAGTGAGTAGGATAATTCTTTTTTCTGGAGTCTGTGAGAAATGGGTTAAACTAATAATACTAAAGCTACTCCATTTAAACCACGTTATTACTGTATGTGTTTTTTTGGGAATCTAAAATTAGTCAGTATGGAGAAAGGCTACAAAAAAAGAGGTTGGGGACAATTTGTAGCACTCAAACTGCAAGTTATTATTAAATTCTTAAGGAAATATCTCCGTTAAATTCCTACCAGACAGGAGGTTGTTGCTCTACGGTCTGCTCTTCCTTATTATAGAGGGTGGCTTTCCCAAACAGCAACTTCCGAGGCACAAGATCATGCTCCCTCTATGAAAAACAGTCAACACAGTCAATGTCACATTAAAATCCTTTTAATTGAAGACCACTAAATCAACATAATGTTGGAAAAGCTGAGGAGAACACAGAAAAGATCTATAATAGTCTTCTTTAACATGGTGGCCTGCAAACATGTTTGAAAGCTTCATAACCTGCAACTCTTACCTAAGAGTGAACTAATGAGTATAATGCTCTTCAAAATGCCGCATATTTTTTTTACTTAGTATGCAATGAAAGACTAACCTAGCTATCTCTTGGAAAATCACAGAACATCTATCTGGAGGGTAACCAAGTTTGAAAAGGGTGAGCTGGAAGAATACGATGACGGACAGATGAGTCCAATACAGGACATCCAATTGTGGGGATGAAAATGAAAAACAATGAAGAAGGATTAAACAAGCAATATGTATGAGTTAGGACAAACCAGGCTGCAAGACATGAGTGTACTGGGAGCAGGAAGCATATTAAACAGAATATTGGCTAATCAAGAAAATGGCACTGAGATAGAATGGGGACATCCCATAAAGCAGACATGTCAATCACAAGGCCCGGGGGCCGGATGCGGTCCGCGAAGTGGTTTTATGTGGCCCGTGAAGCCAACCTGGAAACAGTGAGGGAACGGCCTCCTCTGCCTTGGCCCTGGCCCAGGCCGGCCGGGAGCCAATATACAATTTTGTGGTGGCCATCTTGGCGCTTGCCCCAGTCCCACCCCCTTCTGTCAGATACCCTCAGATCTGTCCCACTCCTGCCCAGGCCCCCACAGCACCCTTGACGCGAACGATGAAGAGCTGGCCATGCCCACCCAGTAGGCCACACCCACTCCAGCCACGCCCACCCAGTAGGCTGCACCCACTCTGGCCACACCCACCCGGCCCCCCAAGGGCAACCACAATGCTGATGCAGCCCTCAATGAAATTAAGTTTGACACCCCTGCCATAAAGCCTCTGTATGTGAAATACTGGATGAAAATCATCTTTATGTTTGTTCACAAATGAGGCTAGATGTAACACTGGAAAGCCAAATACTGTATACACATTTAGGGAGCTATGCCCAGACATCTCTTCCTCTGCACAGGAAAGGCAACCCTGCCTGCTAAGGAAGAGGAAAACCTTCTTACTACAGGAAGAAGTAGAGGAAGGACTGAACACCCAAGATATGCCCCTGGGCACTTACCAGAATTTGCTCCTGAAATTGGAACAATTGTCTTTACCTGGATATGATCACAGAAGTCTCTCAAGGTAACAACTTCTCCTTTGGAATTAAAACCAGGCACAGTAATTCTGTCCCAGCAGCTCCATGTCTTCTGCCGATACTGGGAAGAAAACAATTTCCAGAGAAATAGCAAGTTAAGGGTTTTTTTTTTTTCAACGTACCACAACAAAGAGTCTCGGGGCACTTTAAAGCTAGACATTGATAAGCGTTTGTGAAGTCTACTTTATCCGCAGCATGGAGATCATTTTTTAAAAAAGGTCTGTGTGAACAGTCCTAACCCAGCTGGTACACTTCAAGAAAATTGCAACAGGCAGCTTTCAGAAAAGCCATTTCTTAAAGAACAGAATGAGTCAAGCCTTAGATTCACACTCTTAAATTGTCCTGCAACCCAATCCTTTACTCATTTGGAAATATATCCCAGTGGGTCTTATATCCAAAGTTATAAGCCCAACTATATTTTCTAGGGTATAAGATCCATTGAAATGGGGGAACTTAGTGCTGAGTAAATATATTTGACATTGCAGCTTGAAGGAACCTTACTGGTGGACTGGTAAATTCAGTGATCCCATATATTAGCCCCAAGTAATCTGTATCACTAGACCACTTGGATCATTTTAGTAAAACAAGGGGATACAGAGGAGGTTTCCCCCCCCCTCTAAATTATGAACATTATGTCTCGTTCAAGATCTATTGCTCGTTTTCTAGTGAGATGTTAATAACAAAAATAGCTGTTGGGAATCTTATAGCCAAGGACCTAACAAATTCAGACTGTTCATCTTATCAAAAACAAGGTTAAGAGGTGAACTGATTGTTAATATACCTTCAAAGAAGAGGTTTTAGGTATCAAACAGCGGCTCTTTAATCTAACCAAGGGGAACATAAGAAAAACCAATGCAAATAAAAGATAATAACTTGACCAATTCTAATCAGGCCCAGCATTTCAAACTGCAAGGAAAATTAATCATTGCCACCCCAAAAGCCACCGTGATGCTGTAGTTGAGAGCATTTGATTAGGATAAGGAAAACCAGAATCACATCGGCCAAAAAGGTCATTTTCCTTTCAACTTCTCAGTTACCTCACGAGGTTATCAAATACTAAAACACACAGATCTGAGAGTCTTCGAGGAAAGGCAGAACAGAATTCTGATAAACAAAAATGGCAGGCTTCCAATGAAAACCAGTCCTCCTCCTGCTGAAAAGACAGTTTAATGTATTCAAAACCAGGGGGGGAAGATGCCATAATGTATAGAGCAGAGGAAGTCATTCCTCTTGCATGTCCCATGGGAAGCCAACACTGGATAATCTGGCTCATTCCAGTCTGTCTTCTCATCTCTGGATACACAAACTGGATGCAGAGCGCACAGAGAGGACCCTACAGGGTTCTCTTTTACTTGTTCATGTTCTATAGCTTTCTATTACAACACAAAGACACATTGAATGGATCTCCTGACAACATACAATTATCCTTTTCTTCATAAGAGGCCCCAAAACTTGCCGACCTCTTTGCTCTTTGCATTGTTGGCCCTAGGCAAAACAGACAAGAAACATCCCATCTAGTAACAAGGGAGCCATTGGAGCTGATTACTAGTTCATGGTAGGAAGTGCCCTCACTGGAGGGAAATTTGGGGGGTCAGGCGGCACAAAGGGATACTGTCCTGGGCAGGCTCACTGGTCAGTTAGGGAGGAGCTGGCTTGGACTGTATCATTTCTCTAAGCCTCCCAAGCAAATCCTCTTTGTTTTTAGAAATGGCAGATATGGACAATTTTGACTCCCTTATCTAAATCCAAGAGTACAAGTAATCCTCGACTTATAACAGTTCATTTAGTGACCATTCAAAGTTACAGTGGCACTGGAAAAGGTGACTAAGGACCATTTTTCACACTTACAGCCTTTGTAGCATCCCCATGATCATGTGAACAAAATTCAAAGGCTTGGCAATGGAACCGTGACTGTTGCTGTGTCCCAAGGTCATGTGATCACTTTTTGCAACTTTTTGACAAGCAAAATTAATGAGGAAGCCGGATTCACCTAACAACCATGTTACTAACTTCCCAACTGTGGTGATTCACTTAACAACTGTGGCAAGAAAGGTCGTAAAATGGGGCAAAATTCACTTAAGAAACGTCTCACTGAACAACAGAAATTTTGGGCTCAACTGTCATCATAAATTGAGGGCTATTTGTATTAGCATCTACCAAAGCTTCTAGATAACCCTACTAGATTCCTGCTTAGAGCTCTAATAAAAGAAGTCACTTCTTCATTGTGGCTACCTAAAAAACTATATCCCATCCCACTGTTCAATCAACTCTTTTTCAGTAGGGTAGGGGTAATGTAGCTTCAGTGTTGTTTTGTAATAAAAGAATATTCTCATTTATTATTTATTTAACTTAGATTTCTAAACATGTATGTATGGTTCAATGGAAATATATATACTTTGTAATCCTTTGACATTTTTTTCTCTTTTTTGTGCATTTAGTTTATTGTTTTCTTAGGTTGTTTTCTTTTTTGTGTATGTGTGTATACTGTATATTGTTTTCTTAGGTTGTTTTCTTTTTTGTGTATGTGAAGGCTTTTTTATGTATGAAAGTTGTTAAAAGATTTTTTTTTTTAAAAAGGATGGAGCTGTACCCATCTCTCTTCCTCCCCCATGAAAAAGGAATGTCAGGTTTATTGCTCTTTAACATTAGCAAAATTTAAGGTGACCAATCTCTTTAATTTTAATCATAAAGGAAAATTACGGGACAAACCAAAACATTATTGTTCAGTAATATAAAACATGGGTAAGGGACAGGATTGCTTCCAAGAACTGGGTCTTACTATAACTTTTTTTTTTTTTTAGGCTGGATGATCTCAGTAGGAGCAGGACTAAAATCCAGGACTCATCCTGCAATGTTGTAAGACTTCCTAGAACACTTTGAATTTTCCCTACCCTTGTACAGAAGGGGGGCAGCCAAGAGCCATTTTTACATGCCCCAATGGATCACCCATAGAGTAGAGATGGCTGAAGCCATTCTCAGTTATCCTGCATCTTCCCACTAGAAAGCACACAGCAGCCAAAACAAGTCCATTTCTGTAAACATTAGAAACAGACCACTTTGGGTTGCCCATTTTTGTCCTCTATGCTATATTTCCATTTTGGAAGCACCAAAGCGCTTCCTTGGTGAAAAGATCAACCGGTGACATCACCTTTATCCGGGGGATACCTAGTTGGGGAACTCCTTTCGTATCCCTATTCTTTTCCCCAATGATGAAAATACAAAATGGGGGAAATTGAACTGTCTCCACAAGTGCTCCACTGGGTTGCTTGCAAAGGCGGTTTGGTGCAGGAAGCAGTTGAAAAAGAGCCAGCTTTGCAGGAACTTGAGATGGAATGCATGCAGCTGCCCTTGTTGTGTATGTGAGCTTGAGTTTTTAAAAGGCCTGTACACCCACGTTTCCTCCATCCATAGGTTCTGACTAGATCAAGCCCTGCCATACTTACCATCTTCCATGCATGCATCAAATCTAAAAACGCTTTCTCTATGCATATACCTACACACACACAAATTCTGAGACAAATTTGGACTGGTTGCTGGACCACTTCTATCCACACAGGTGATATGGATATATTGGAACTCCTTTCAGAAGAATCATCCCTCTTCCATCTATGGGTTTCGCTAGTAACTGAACTGTGTTAGCAATGGTTCCTGGATTTACAATTTGAAAACAAAGAACTCTTACCTAATTTATTTCAAACCCACGTAGAAGCAAATGAAAAAGGGAATGGGAAGAAGGAAAAGGAACTCAAGATGCACAGCACCATCAAACAGGGAGTTCTAAATGAAAAACCATCATGTCACTCAGATTAAATCATTGTACATAAGAGAATCCCTAAATGGTAGAAAATAATTCTTTAAATGCCTATGAGGCGAATGAAGCTTATGTCATGCCACATATGGGAGGAAACTCAGAGCCAAAGTTCGTCATCCTGACCATTTGGGTCCATATGGCCTATTCCATTTGCTCCTTTACGTTGCTAGTAACAAGAATAGGTTTTCCTCTTTCCTAGGTGCCATATGGCCACTTGGCCTCTCACACTTGCTGGGAAACCTTTACACCTCCTGTTCATCTCTTCCTCTTCTCTTTTCTCTGCCTCTATATTTCTACAGCCAAGGGACTAACCACAGACAGTGGGAACAGTGGAAATCAAACAGGCCCCATCCATAATGCCAAAAGATCACTCTTCAAAGCCAAGGCTGCAAGGAGAAAGGAGTGGGTGGACCATGTGAAGATAGGAAAGGAGAATATTGAGGTTCCAAGCTAATCATTGTTCCCCAAACTCTTTATTCCCACGCCATAGCATTGTTCTTTCTGATTTTCTCTACTCGAAGTCTGCCTTGCACAGTTCTCTGAAATGTTGTTTCCTAGCCCATCCCCATCCCAAAATCTGCTCTAGCATGAGAAACAAATTTCCAATGAATGTATGGTGGGGGGGGGGAATCCTTTGGCGCCAGGATAAGAGCTGCCTTCCCCCAATCACCAGCCCTTGCTAACTAATGACTCCCATATGTGGCTTAATCAACTCCACAAGTTCTTGGATTCAGTACAGCTCTCCATTCCTTTTGCAAATCTATCCCCCCTTCCCATCTCCTGATGCTGTTCCTCCTTTTCCTCTCTGAGCCCTCCTCTCCGCTCTTTCCTCCCTTTCCTCTCCAATTTCACATAGGCAACTTCAGGAATGAAGTCAGGATTTAATTCCAGGAGTTTATTCATCCCTGAAAAAGAAGCAAGATGGATGTTCCTAAATAGCCCTCAGTTATAATAAATACAGACTTGCCATCCTGTCTTCTCTGTTGCTGTTCTCTGATACGTTGGCAGTGCTGAGAAAAGTGGTGGCAAGATTTCAGATCTCTAGGACCTACTTTGTTAGCAGAGTTTTGAAATCCATCAACAGCCCGTCAAGTGGATGACTTGAGTGGGAGTGATGGTAGTGAAAAGAGTTAATGAGACCTCTAATCACAGACTCAACCTAATTACTTCAGAGGGTAAACAGTTCAGTCAGAAACCTTTGTGGCTTTACTGCAAATCATCTCATGGGAGTAGCATAGGTCAGTAAACCTTTCTACCGCAGTGTCTTCCAGACATCTTTGACTATAACGTCCATGATTCCCTGCCAGATCTCACACTGATGAGAATCCCAGTTGAACATATCTGGACAGTGTTTGGAGACAGTGCCTCAAAAGGGAACCGTTTGCTTTCTGTGATTCAGTATCCCTCTGCACTAGATTTGCAGAGAAAGATTCCACTCTCAAACCCAGGGGAAGAGCAGCCCATCCTTCCCAGCACAGAGAGCATGATGGACTAATGGTCTCACTCAGTATAAGGTGGCTTCCTACATTCCAAAGATCCAGAGATGCAACTACGGAGAAAACTCCCAGTTCTGGCAATCACAGATGTGGCCTCTCTATTCCATCCTTTTTCCGATCAAGTCTGTTTTTGAGAAAGTAAAGAGGTGCGAAGGCAAACTTCACTGAATCCTATGTAAAACTATGCAAAGGGGGCTTCAAAATTGCACAGTTAAAAACATCGCCTTCACATCTGCCTTCTGAGCACCACGGCCTCTAAGCTGCTACACTTGGTAGAGGCACAATCCCTCCACAGCTGGATGAACTATGGCTGCAGAGAAGATTTTTCAAATTCAAAATGTCACAAACTTTCATTACCAAGGCCACCCCCACCCCTTTTCACCACAGAAGTATTGAATCTCTGGTCATTGCAGGGGCCATTTGCAGAGCTGTGCTGTTTAGAAATCTGAGATACCCTTTAAAAATATACAACATTTGGCAATGCTAGATGGCGGGGGTGTAACCAAGCCCTGGGGCCATGCAGCATGATCTGAACCAGGAGGGAAGGAACAGAGGCCTGACAGCCCAAGCCCTGCAGAACTGACCCCCCCCCCCTTTCCTGCTGGCCCTCCCTTCTCCTACCAATCTGGTTCCAATCTGTGTTTCCTGTGTAGCAGGAAGCCCCAGCCTCTCACTCCATAAACTCAAGACAAAAAGGCCTCTATTCAAACAGACGCTCTTAATTTAGCTTCTTGCTCTTTCCACTCGCCCCCACCCTATTCTGGCTCTGGTTTCTTTCTCCAGAAAAGGGAGCTATTGCAAAGAAGCCAAGAATAGTCGCAGCCCCAGCCATAGAGGGCCAAGGCAATTTCCTGGGGGGTGACAACAGTAGAAGCAACCCCAAAGTCCCAGCATGTGTATTCTGGGTGAGCATAAATATACCTCCTCTGCATTCATGCTGGAAAAAAGAGAACAAGAATGGCAAAGTACTTTAAAAAGAGTTGCCAGGAAGAAACCATGCCATAGCATATATTGATAGCTCAACAGGAAGGAAGGAAGGAAGGAAGGAAGGAAGGAAGGAAGGAAGGAAGGAAGGAAGGAAAAAAGGAAGGAAGGAAGGAAGGAAGGAAGGAAGGAAGGAAGGAAGGAAGGAAGGAAGGAAGGAAGGAAGGAAGGAAGGAAGGGGATTGAGTGAAGAAAAGAAGGAAGGAAGGGGTTTGAATGTGCAAAACTCCATCTTTAAGCTAGTCAGTATTTAGAAAAATCATCTAGAAATTCCAATAAATGCAGCTTAATAAGAAAATCAGAAACACATAATAAAAGAACCTCATATACAAATTATCTGTCTGGTGGTGGATCCTGTCCTAGAAAGATCCATCATTGACACTGGTAGGATAGTGGCATAACTTCAATACATTACAGATAGTATTGATTTAATGTAAAAAGTTTCCCTACAATAGCTTATACCTTTGCCCACTACTTTTTCACTGCAAGAAGGTATTTTTATAGCAATGTCATTTATTCTACTATTATTATCCACAAGAAACACTTTGATGGCAAGAGAGGATACATCTGCATTCTAATGTTGCTCTGAAGATATCTGTGAGACTTCTGTGACTTATCTCTGAGAACAAAGATTGGACAATGGTATAAACATGGGATATCTAGGATGGTATAAGGACTTCTGCCTTGGCCAGGGTGTTGGACTAGCAGGCCTCCACACTAGAAACTGTATGATTTTATGGTTCTGTTAACATGTACTCCCTTTCAGCCACAGCACCATTTCAGCTCGGATTTACCTTGACTTTGTTGAATCTTGCAGTGAAAGCCCTTCATCATATCTGGGGAGCAAATGAATGTGTGTGGAGAGATTCAGGGCTGGCATTAGTGGTTTCTTCCAAAAGAAAACACTGTGGCTGGTGCTCCAGATTGGTGTGCAGCTTAGCACCAGCTGTGAATGTCAGCTGCAGGTTAAAGACCACTTCCTGTGTCTGACAGCTCTCAGGCACCTATCCATCCCTCTCCTTCTGCACTGCTGCTGGCTTGATACACACTCCAGGCATCAGCTTCTGAAACTAGATCTCCTTCACCGTCTGTCTGCCAGAAGGGGCTCAGGAAAGGCAGGGTCAGCAGCAGCTGAGCTGAGCAGAGCTGGAGCAGCTTCCCCTGCCCCCTCATGTCAAGGCTGGGCAAGCAACTCACTTCCGGTGCCCAGACAAGATGGCACTGCATGGAATGGGTTGGCAGCATCTGCAGCCTGGACGTCATTCTCGCCCACATGCTAAAGAGTCACCTTCGGTGGCTATATACAGTAAATTTCAATAATAAATAAATAGTAAAATAAAAAAAATAAAAGATACAAGGCAGCCATTCTACCTTGAATCTTTGCTGCCAGAAACACCCAGAGCAATGCACTATCTCTAATTAATGCCGTAAACCCTATTTCCAGGAGGGGACTGTGGCTGGAAGCTGTAGCCAAGAACAGGAACGCATGCCAGAAGATCAAGTGCTTCATACTTCCAGTTTTCATTCTTCTGTTGGAATGTCTGGAGACAGGCTTGTGCCAGAAAAATCAGCAACTCTGTCATGACAGCCTTTAGTGTCTTCAAATATTCCAGCAAAAGTGCACAAACAGAGGGTGTGTCACCCATACATCCAAATGATCACAGATGCTTAGTGCCAAAGCCACCCTTGGGATTATTTTTGAGCATGAAATAAGAGGGAACCATTGCTCTCCCTTCCCTCCTTCAATGTAGAAAGATTACTATAAACTAAGATGGCCACCAGCATCCATGCTGCTACAGAAATTACATGTTTACTTGTACAAAGCAATTTGATTTCTGTTCCAGAATGATTTGGCTCCTAGCAGTACAGCAACCCCTTGCTCCAGCCTTTTAGACATCCAGGTATTCCAGAACGCCTCTGGAGTTCTCCCTTGCTTGTTCTCATCTTTGACTTGCACACAAAAAGAGACCCAACCAATCTCCTCCCGTTTTCAAACTATGATGAATTCAGAGCCCCAAACAGGATCACCACAGGCCTCACCTTGTACACTTGTGGACATGGCACAGGCTGGGAGCGACTGAGGAAAGGCTGAGAGAGCTGGAGGAAGTCATGGCGATAGGAACTGAGATCCTTGTGCTGCCACACTAGTTTGTAAAGCTCCAGGCAGGTCAGGCCAGCTACAGCAGCTGTTGTTGTGGCAATAGCAGGTACAATCCGGCCCACAATCCTCTTGGCCTATTGAAATTAAGTTGGACAGAGACCATGAAAATGATGGGAGAGAAAGCTGCTTCTGACAGGAAGGAGTTCTGCAGGTGGCAAGCACTGGGGAAGGATTTTCTCCACCACCTCTGTTCCCTTGATAGCCCCCTTCTCCCCAAGCTTCCAACTTTTTCCCCTCCCACTCTTGAGCAGCCTTGTGAAGAAATAACCTATGGACTTCTTCTAAAACAGCTAGAACACATTCCAATATCCCCATTCTCAACTCTCTATTTTCTGTCTTTCACTTATTGGCAAAATTGGGGGTGGGGGGTGGGGAGAGAAACAAAGCCTTCCCACTGGCCTCACCTGGAACTTATCCACTGGAGAGATGCCATAGTTCTCAGCTCGCAGATTGGCTGCATGCGTGATGAAACTCAAATGGGAGTCATTATCCTGAGGGACCAACAATGGGAAAATCAGTCTTAACCAGGAAGTGGTGGAAGTAACAGAAAGGATCTCAATAGGAAGGAGACAAAAGTGATTGTAAGCCTTACAAAAATCAGGAAAAACAAAGAACAGTCGGGATTGGATAGTCTGTAAAGAAAAGGCATAAAATGTGGTGACGGGGGTAGATATGATGTTTGGAGGGTTTATTTTTAGTAAAGCAAAACAACTCCAATGACTGCAAAAACAGTGTGCGTGCAACGCTTTGTGCAATCTTGGAAAACACTGTGCAGCTGAATAAGTTTCCATAGTCCAGAGCAGACGTAACACAAGGTTGCCCTTGACTCAGTTAAGGAATTGTGCCCTCGAGTCTTTTTCCCTTCCTCCTTATCCTCTTTCTTCCCATGCGACAAACCCATTTCATAATTTTTTTTTTAAAATGGTTGCTCCTTTTGTCTATCCAACCCATATCAAGGTAACATTACAACAGGCACTCCCAACTGGATGTTTCTGGAATACTTTTGAATTGGGAGGAGGAATTCGGGTGGGAGATGGGAGAAGGTGAACAAATGAAAAAAGGAACTGTAGATCATGAAACAAATTGTATAAAAAATACAACACAACAGTAGTTTAAGTACTGCAAAGATAGATTGGTGGCCTGGTTCATTAACAATTAATTGAGAAGAGATAGAAGACCACCCATTTTTATGAAACACAACTCTAGACGGCTTACAGTAATATTAAAAACCAAAGGAACGGTAAAGTCAAAAGCCCCTAGTGCCTTAACCAACAATATCCGATCTAACAGACAATGTGATCACCGGACCTATTCCAATTCCTGGGGGAAAAGCCACTCTCTGCAGCTTTCCGAAAGGCTAAAAGGGTGGGACCCTGTTGGATCCCAGGAGGGGCAACCCACTGAGCAGAGACTGCTATGGAAAAGGCCCTATTAGCTGGCAGCATGTAGGGGAAGGGAACATGCCCTCCCAATCTGACCTGGTGGAGAAGGCAGATACCCTCAGGGAGAGGCAATTCTACAAGTAACCTGGTTTTGTGCACGCAGAGTTTAAAAGAGATAACCAACAGCTTGAATTGCACTCCCCCCCCAAAAAAAGAGAGAGAGAACCAATGAGCAAATCAAAGTACACCACTGCATTCTGGACAAGTTGTAACTTCTATGTGGTCTTCAGGGGTAGCTCCATGGAGACACATCGCAGTGGTCCAATCAGGAAGTCCTAGTGTGCAGTGTTGCTCTGTCAACAGGTAACTACGTCTGAACTAACTAGGAAGGTTGCAAATGATCATGTTATGCAGCAACAGAAGAAGAGTATCAGAAAGACAATGAGAAACAGGACCATCAACAGCTCATTCCAAAGCACCCCACCCACCCTCTGGCAAGAAATACATGGCTGTGAACCAGATTACGGGTAGTCCTCAACAGAAAGCAAAATTTCTGTTGCTAAAGACAGCTGAAGTTGCTAAGTGCAAGTTGCAGTTGTTCAGTGAGTCATGTGGTTGTTAAGTGAACCTGGCTTCCCCATTGATTTTGTTTGCCAGAAGCTCCCTAGGAAGGTTCTTCTTCTTCTTCTTCTTGTGCCATATCCGTTATTGGACGTTGGCGATCATGTTGGCAATCCTGTTTTTATCAGCAACCGCACGAAAAAGTGCTGCTGAGTTTTGTCCAAACCAGTCCCTTAGATTTTGAAGCCACAATATTCTTCTTCTGCCTGGACCTCGTTTGCCTTCAATCTTTCCCTGGAGGATTAAATGGAGTATGCCGTATTTTTCTGGGTGTCGCATCACATGTCCGAAATATTCTAATTTTTGTTTTTTAATTGTTTTGATGATTTCCCTTGGCTTTTCCCGGCAGCTTATCACCTCCTCATTTCTGATCTTGTCAACCCAGCTTATACATAACAGCCGCCTGTAGATCCACATTTCAAATGCTTCTAGTCTCTTCAGGTGGCCTTCTGTCAGAGACCAACTCTCTACTCCATAAAGCAGGATAGAAAAAACATAGCATCTTGACAAGCCTGATTTTCAGTCTTAGGCTTATGTCGTGACTGCAGAAGACCTTTTTCATTTTGAAGAATGCTGTTTGGGCTTTTTCTATCCTTGTCTTTACTTCAACGGCTGCAACCATCGTAAATGTATGCCAGCTACCAAACACCCAAATTTTGATCATGGGACTGTGCGGCTGCTGCAATGGTTATAAGAACTGGTCACAAGATACTTTTTTCAATGCTCTTGTAACTTGGAATAGTCACTAAATGAATGGTTGTTAAGTCAAGGACTACCTGTACACGCTTTCTTCATGGTACCCCTCATTCTTTGGAACACCGTCTCTCAGTTCCGACAGACCCTCTCCTGTTAACACTGTAAACAATTTAAATCTGTGCTATTTCAGTGCGTCTTTGGCCTCAGTTGGTCTGAATGAGGGCATCCAAACTCTGGCTACAAGATCTGTACTGTTACATTTTATATTTTCTTTTATGTCCTAATGCATTCAGAGCCCTTCAGCACTGAGGTGGTTTATAAATAATGTGAAATATATACCTACAATTTTAAACTGTTTGCGTAATATTGTAGAATGGATGACAAAATGTACCTGAGTCCTCCTTAGGTACTTAATCTGAATTGCATGATGTTTTGTGCTTTTAAATAATAATATTGCTCTCTTCTAGAAACGTAAGAAACTTAAATCCTAAATGTCAACTCAGTGATAATATAACTCAGGACTCCAGAAACAGTAGCCTCCAAAACATGGAAAGGTCAAAGCAACTAAACCTGACTGGTAAATGAGATTTCTATTAGGAGCATTTGACAGCAACTTTCAACTGAAATGGCAATATATGGAAAATATTCCACCTTAAGTAAAATCTGGACCCCAATCCTGGCAGCTGATGACATATTTGGATATAATCCCCACAAGATTCCTACATTGCAACTGCATTTCTGCAGACAAATGCCCACTGTATGCAAAAAGTTTGGCTCACAGCAGCTGTGAGCCTGTTCCAATCTTCCTCTGCACACAAGGAATATCATTCAATCACAATGTTCTCCCTTACTAAATAAAACAGACTTCCTACTGCAAGATGTGAGCAAACTGAGGAAGGCCGTAACTCAGTGCTTGAAGGGTATTCTTTGTACACAGAAAGTCAGCTCTGCTTTCATTATCCAGCTTAACTTTCCTTTAAAGAGTCTCAGATAGCAAGGGTGAGCAAAACCCTTGGCACGAACCCACCATTTTCCCAAAATGTTCCACATCCTTATCATTTCACGTTCAAGCACCTTCCCGTTCTCCCCTCCCCGCCATTCTCATCTGCTAACCCCAGATTAGAATGAATTTAGACCAACGAGCCTTCTGACTTTATTTTGACTTAATTTTATGCATGGCTCAGAATTAAGTCCGTGATCAAGAAAACTTAGGTATGCCCAGGAATGTAGCCTTACCAACTCAAAAGAGCAGATTATCCAGATATGGTTTGGTTCTGATATAAAGACAAATAATTGTTCTAAGTAGCATGCCTGAGTCTTGAAGTCACAAGCTCCCACCTCCTTTTTTGTGGGATTCCATTGCAAATTCAAATCAAGTCAATGTTTATTGTAGTCAAAGACCACAGCAAGTTTAAAACACTCAACGGATATCCAGTTAAAGATTCTAGAAACTACCACACATTTAATATGTAACTTAGCAGCCAAAAGCATGATTATTTCCTTTTTTTTTTCTCTTGAGAATTTTCTTCCGGAAGGAAGGCCTTAATGTTTCCTCTGAGTCCATCTAAATCTTACCTACACATTTAATTTACAAATAAATTAAGGAAATCATTAGGTAGTTATGGGAAGTTATGCTGTCAAATTGACCTAAATTCAGGCTTATCTAGCTTTCGTTTGGTTTCTGCCCATTTATCATGCCCTGGCCTCACCCACTTTTGGGAACAAGGATTCCAGCACATCAGTAAAGTCCAAATGCTTCCTTCAGCCTAAAAGAAGTTGCTCAGCCCACTTCAGGGTATCCAATGAGTTCTCAGTGAAGGTGAGATTCAAAACCAGGAGCCATCTGATTTGTAGTTCTGTCTTTGAGTCACAATCCTAAATCTTGTGTACGTGATGCAAAGGAAGTGTTTTTTGTAACTCAACATTTGAACTCTGAATATTAAAAAAAATCATGTGGCTCTTGTTCATACTTGCCCTGGGACAATGGGAAAATCAGTTCATGAATCATCTCATAAAAGTGCTTTAGCTCTAAACTGAAATTGCCTGGTCCAAGATGAAGAAGCATTGCCAGAACAGTCACCATTGGCATAATGGAGTCATACGTTTACTCACTGGCCTTCAAGGTCTACCAAGAAAGAAACACATAGCAAGATGCAATAAACAAGCATATCCATACCTTGCCAAACTGAAGTGGCTCCATATGACCAGGTAAGAGGGCATTGTCTTTTTCAAGCTCCTCTCTTAACTTTCCCAATTCTTGCTTCAGTTGTACCAGCGCTGACTGATCTAAAAGGCATATTTGGAGCAGCCCAAGTAAGATGATTGATACGGGATGAACAAAACATTATCTGCTTGTTTAAAGCCTCTTATATAACCCTTACAGTTCAATGATAACCTCCACCCACATCTTTGATGAGATCAGCAGAAGGATCTTTGGGAGCTAACCGAAGCAGTTTAGTTTTCTAACTATCATTGATCTTATCGATTTCTTACCAGTAGCACTTGGTAGTGTTGAAATATCTTCATCAGTAACAGGGATTTTCATCCCTTGACATGGTTGGAAGGATGGGAGATGCATATCACGGAGGACTTGGAAGGTAATAGCTTTATCTTCATGAACAAGCAGCCCGTGTGTCTTGGCAAAGAGGCGACTGGCAATCACAATGAAGGCCTCGTGGGTGGGCTATAACAATCCAAAGATAGCTTTAGCAGAGGCAGTACCAAATATATCCCCTTTTCTCACTGCAGCTCTAAGTTCTTGTTTCTCATATCAGCAACTGGAAGCATTGGGTGCCCCTTCAAAAATACGTTCCTTATCATCCGGCTAAACAAACTCTCTTGTGTTGTGATCAATACATCACATCACCATATGCAGCTTTCTACTATGTCTGCAAGAAACAGTGGATTCAGGGACTGCATTCCAGTGCATCTTGAACCCTCCCTTGAAACATCCAAGGCAAGTTTGAAACGAGCTAGTTTTTCTCTGGCTGATTAGACATTTCTGGATTCATACCCTTTTCTTAGCTATTTATTGTGAGTTGTTTGCCACCTATTTCTAGGAAACAATGAAAACAAACAATCCCCATTCATTGAATGTGTGTGCGTGTGTTCATGGGAGTGAATGTGTACATTTACTTTCATCCTTTTAACCTTAAGATGTAAATGGTCACCCAACAGTGGAAATGGACCTTTCCTTGATGATGCTTACTGAAAAGGCAAAATCTGCTCTCTTCTAGAATCCCCAATTCCCTAGCTGAACAACTCACATTGCTGTAGTCAAACTGGAGTTGGTGGGGGCATGGAAGTCCAGAGCTTGTCTCCTGGGGACAAAGGTAGATGGGGTCAGTCAGGAAGCCACATGGTGTGCCAGAAAGAAGTTCAAGAAAGGAAACTCTACTGACCAAAGGCTGGAACTGAGCCAGGTAAGTTTTGCAGCCTGAAGGGAAGAGATTTAGCCATGGAAGAGAGAATAAGTGAAGGGCTAAGAAACAGTAGATGTGTGGCTGGAACAGTAGATGTGTATCTGTACCTTCTATATGTCTTACTTGTATATATTTTAATTACTCCAAAACATCCAGGGCTTACTTCTGACAATAGTGTTACATTCCATTCAGAGCAAAAATCATTTTCAAACGTTATTGCATGCTGATTTACAAAATGTGCTATTTGAAAGGGCCAAAAAAGGTTATACAAAAGGACAATGCTTTATCATCCAAAAGATGGACACATATAACCATGGCAGTATCACTTTCAGTAACACAAAGTACACAGTGAGGAAAAATGGGG